CCACCTCTCGCTAGAGCTCTGGCCAAGAGGTAGCATTAACATTAACAGTCATGTTTTCTCGCCCAACAAACTGCAACAGCACCACACAAGTCGCATAACTGCTATAATAAATCTTCAGGTCTCTTCTTTCTTCAACAGCCCTCGCAACCAATATTAATTATAGTTTAAAACTGAAAGCTTTGCAAAGCCTATGGTCCACACACACACACACACACACACACACACACACACACACACACACACACACACACACACACACAATCACAATGTATACACAAATCCTAAAAATGAGACTATAATGACTGTACATGCATGTCTAACCTTTCTTCAAGCGAGTTGGCGTTTTCGGAAATCCCGCGTCGTGAAAACCTAACCAAAACAAAACTGTACTAGATCTAGATCTAGACAATGTAACGCTATCACTTGTCAACAACAGATGTCGTTAGTGGGAATTACCATCCAGCTACACCACAAAAGCAGAACTGACTGACGATCAACACATCAGAAGTCATAAATATAAGGGGGATGGTATAGAGAGAGTCCACACAGCATGACAGCCAATCAGTGATCTACTTTCATACACAAGTTTTTCCCAACCGGTCGCGTGAATAGCTTTTCGGTCTGATTACTCCGCCCGCGATGAGGTAAGGGACTCGTTGTAGGCTAGACAGAATTGGCGCAAAACAGGTGAGAGCTATTAGGTATTGAGAATCGATACTTTTTTAATAGAGCCACGATGCTGACATATGTAGGCCTACTGTGTTTTTATAAAGCATAGATTTACCCTATTAAGCAGTAGATAGCTCTATGATGTAAAATTGAAAGTTGATGCTTTACGTCCACATCGACACAATTTAGATAATTAAGGAGATGTGCTGCTGCGACCCTCTCTACTAGAGCCTACACAGGCAAAGTGGGAACATCCCAGCATAGACATGGAGATACTCGACATAAATCTTCCCTGTTTGGGAATCAAGCCCACGTCTTCTGCATGCAACAGCTTAGAACCCTACACCAAGGATGGTAATGTTGTGTTTTTTTCGGGAAAGAAGATACACAATAAGAGCAGTTGTTTTGGGCGGATGGAGGGGGGGGGGTGTTCTTCATTACTGATTGCTGGTATAGTTAATCAAATAACGAGCGCGTTCGTGAAAAACCAAATCGTTATTCGCACGAAGTATCGAATACAATGTAGTAGCCATCTCTCCCAAGAGTCCCAGGTGGGCTGTTTCTGGGCCAAGGCGGGTGTGACACAAACACGGAACTCGAGAGCAAAGGAAATACCTGAAGTGAACGAGAGAGAGGGAGAGAGAGA